TATACATATATATATATATATATATACATATATACATATATATATATGTATAAGTTATAATTATAGTGTAAGAAGGGAAATAACACTCTCGCAATTTAACAGTTTAGCAATCTAAGCATTCGTATAAAAACACTGCTTACTTCTTTGCTGCTATTGTCTTCGATTTCAACAAACCTTTGTAAATTTATGAAACTGTTATCTGCAAAAGTTAACCTCAAACGCGATAGAAGACGTTTTGCCAAAATGATAGTCGGCAGCCTTGAGGAGTTGTTTGCAAGTGCAAAGCCAATTGATGAAACCGAACGTCTAATAGGACGGGTATTGGCCGGTGAGTTACTAGTTATTATTGCAATAAAAATAGAAATAATTTTCAACAATTAAACTCAGGTATTAAACCCACAGCTTTCAGTACCAAGTTCCCGTTCAGAAAAACTTTTAAATTGTGGTAAAAGCAAAATAAGGAATATTCTCACACTTGTGCTAAATTTCAGAATTTCTTTTCACTCTTTACCACAATGGCAGCTCCGCAAATAGATATTAGCCAGAGGAACCGATAAATAGGCGAGTGAACTGACGGAAATGACTAAATCAATGTTGACCTACTTCTTTGTGGGGCGCTAGTTAACGCGACGTGCTATCGGGCGCCGTGAGGTAAAGCTATATAGGCCGGTGCTCACGTCTTAAATGAGATATGAAACCAATAATAACAATAATAAGGGATGAACGATTAGTTAGCTAGGAAGGTTAGAGAAAGAGAGAGAGAGAGAGAGAGAGAGAGAGAGAGAGAGAGAGATAAATAGAAACAAAAAGTATATGTATTTACATATATATATATATGTCTGGCCACTTAGTGGTTGTATCCTATACAGCTAAACACGCTTGGGGTTAACATAGATTATAGGCAGAGGAAGGAGGGAAAAAAGGAATTGTATATTAGTTAATCTAATAAATTCAATGTTTTTATTACATTTTCTGTGGCCCATAAAATACTTATTGATAATCCATACACATGCATACATTTTTGGAACCTTATCAATGATGAGTTTGCGAGTTATTATGTTTTTAAATAACATTATTCTTAGTCATTCGTGGTCGTTCTATAGTGGAATAGAATTTTCAAATGTAATCATTATAGATGATAGAGATGAATTTAAGTCGTCATTACGCATTGTGATGTTGTATTGATCCAGGGTAAACTTTTTGACACTACGACTTCTGCTAAAAGAAAAATAAAAGACAAACCGATTTGTTTTAGGCATACGTTAGGGAGGCTTTAATAGATTTGAATGTATATCTTATCAATGCCTTTGTATTGAAATGTTAGTCGACGACAATAGAATTGGTTTTACGTAAATCCAATCGACATGAAATTATAAAAATTGAACTCATTTTTCTTTGAGAGCAAAAATTGAAACAATTTTTTTTTTCTTGAAAACACCCACGTAATGATAGTCAATATTCATGAGAATACAACTATATAATTTCGTTTTTTTATTTCTTTATTTATTTTTATATACATATATATATATATATATATATACATATATATTTTCTTTTTATTCTCGTTCTAATGTGAACGCAAGTTTCACTTTTATTCATTTGGATACGTCAGTGATGTGCCATTAGTTTATTTGTTAGCTCGTTTGTTTGGCTTTTGTTTTCTTGTTGTTGTGTTGTTGTGTTGTTGTTTTTTTTTCAGAGTCCAAGTATTGTTTATGTTAATATGCTTTATTTGCTTTATCTATAGGTGAATGTGTACTTGTGGGAGGGCAATGAACTGACACTTTCATAAAGCTTAACCTAAATTTTTTATAACATTTGATAATGTGTTTGTGAGCGTATAATATTTTTATGATAAATACGCTTAGAGGAGATATAGCCGCTCATTAAGTTAAGTTGGAAATTAATAAATCGCAACGTAAATTAACGCTGTTTGAAGGTTTTGTATTAATCATTGATTCTCTTAAAATTTATGAGGGGCCTATATAATGAAATTAAACTCATTCATTATTTTTTAATTCTATTTACTTTTTTTCTAACAATACGCTTAAGAAAAGTTCTCTGCATATACACAATACGTATGAGTGATTATTAAGTATTGTATTTATTGTGTGCATGATTTTGTGTATTCGATAAAGAGCGCTGAAGCTGGTTATGAACTGTACGCTCAATCCTTTCTATTAAAATATATTTGGAAATATTGTAATACTCACTCGTTACGTCTGTCATATGTATAATGATTTAGTATTGTTTTGTTAATAGAGACACACGTGCATTCATTCAATTCAGTCGGTCTTTCTTCTCTTGTCTGATTCCTGTTTAGGTAAACTAAGCTAATAAGTTATAATATAAGGTATGATTTCATTTCGATGAAGGCGACTAAACAGCAAGCTCAAGAGCACACTCGCTATAGTGGAAACTACAAGACAGTATGAAAAAAATGACTAAATATTTTGCGCCACTTCGCTTAATAAAGTTCTTCATACAACGACTTTGCAAAATTAAGCGTTGTTTGGGAAGTGGTCAAAAAAGTGACCCAATCCAGATAATTTTCAATAGCGTTCGCCCTTGGGCCAGAATACGTCGGTGTACCAAATTTTCATCAAAATATCTCGAAAATTTCAAGCTACGGGTTGTACGGGCAGAATCGAAGAAGAACGGACTGCGAAGAAGAAATCTGTATAATAAAAGGCATGTCTATATCGCAAATAATAGGGTATATCGAATATATACTTTCATCGGAAACTTGCAACTAATAGCAGACAACGTTCAGCACGATTGCTAACTCAAAATTTATGACTATCCGTCCTATAATACCACAGCTAATATTTTAACACTTATTTTTATAAATTTCTCTAAGCAATTAAGATTTTGTCCCAACGCAAACCTTTTTCTATTTTACTGTCAACTCGTATTTTGTGACTGAAGCGACTGCATTTTGAAATATTAAAGTAACTAGTCTATATGTCATGCGCAGAAGATTGAAGTCCTGGCTTCTGAATAAATTCGCATCATGCACAATGCATTATGCATACACTCATAAAACTCTTGCGAAATTGTCTAAGGATCCTAAGTTTGAGCAATAAGTAAGGTATCTGACAATAGAGGGGCTCGAAACAACAACGAAAAGATCTTTTAGTGAAAAATAGAAAGAAAAAACTGCGGGTCACGTTATATCAAATTCCATAGCATTCGATAAGTTACTAGTAGGGGTTTAACCGCCCCAGAGAATAAGCGAACTTTGCTTGTTTCTTTCACTATCGTGGAAAATGAATTTCACGTTGTGATTAGGCGTTGTTTGTGGAAACGTAGGAGAAAAACTGAAAGAGGCTCGTCAAACACTACAGGGAATATGGTTAATATGGACGTACAAACATCATTCAAGTCGTCCAATTGAACATATAACACCAGAAACGATTAAAAAAATTCCTGATACGCCGTATGCATTCCTTACGACTACGTTGTTAACATTTTGCACCAAAAATTAACTGCCTTAAAATCTTTTCCGTGTAGATACTTCGATCAGGAATTTAGAATTACTTAAGATCGATTCAATCGAGTTTTTACGTCTTCCGCGTCATAACGTATACAAAATGAAACCATCACTACGGACTACATATAATTACGGGAAGGGTGAAAAGACTGGATTTCGCCAGATGAAAATGTGTCAAAGCGGGCAAGGTAGAAATTATTGGAAAGAGCTTACGCTACCACGTCTTTTTCGAGGCATTGCATACAACATAAGCGTCATACATTACTTTAAAAAGGGCAGACCGACAACACGCGCATATCATTAGGCGGTTATCGTATGGATTGAATGAAAAAATCAAAAACAAGCACCCGCATTTGAAATCATTGCTTAACGATTAGTCCTTCTTCGTGCTACTGTACTAACGCGCTTATGCACCAACACCGCATAGCAAAAGACTACTGGCTTGATAATCGCGCTTCTAAAGTACTTGGCCTGTCAAAACTAACACTCATTAAATAATCCTGACGCTGAAATTGATTAGTACGAAAAACAAACTTTTAGGCAGCTAACTTGGAGAACGACCGAGTATTGATCAAAATAAAGTCGCTAATCCAATTTCAAAGGAAAGCAGTATATCAGTACATCGATCGCCGTTTGGTCAAAACGAAGCAGGAAATCAGTCTGACCGCCGAATTATTGAGTTTCCTACATAGTATAGCGCTATAAACGTACGCTTAAAGGGCAAATATCAATATATTGTAAACTTCCGTACTCCCCTTTGCAATTACGTCACATTAAATACAAAAGAACTTTAAAGAAAACCAGCAGCGGAGACAATAAAGAATAAAAAATAAATTTGCTTCGCTGCCCAGGTTCAATCTAACGACAATTTCTAATGAACCTGAAACTTTACATTCAAATATAGAAGATGCATAAAAAACTGTATAACGAGGTGTAATATCCGCCAATTTTTTTTATTTTTGAGAAAAACCTATTACACGTGTCAGTTTTTTCGCTATGTATATACTTTTCATGCCATTATTCACTATCTTGCTTGCGTGTTTGACGTTTTTCTTCCCTTCTCTGTCATGGCCTAGAATATCACGAACGATTTTAGACTTGCTTTTCTTAGTAAGATACTGTTATTGTTGCTGTTGTAGTTCTTGTTTGTTATTTCATCCTAGTCGTAGACATTAATGTATATATATATATGTAGGTATATATAGTTATATATATATAAGCGCTTATATATATATCGCTTGATGTTTTTGTTGTAATTGTTGAAATGAAAATGAAATTTTTATGTACGCACCATCAACGAAACGTATCTCAATAATAATAATAAAAGAACATAAAAAAAAGTGAACAAAACTCTAGTTCAATGACCGAAAGTATCCGTGGCCTAGATTGTGCGTATATATCAGAAACGACAACGTAAACCTTATAAACATACATTTGCTTTTATTCATTTTGTTTCTATCTTTCTCTTTCTGCCGCTCCCTCTATTCATTTCTTCGTTTATGAGATTGTCTCCTATTTGTAATGAAGCGATGAACGACAGAAACATTTCGTTTTACGCACGAATTCTTTCAGTAAAAATTTGAATTTTAATATTTTTGGAAAAATGAATTGATTCACTCGAGTTCCTCTGCTTTGTTTTATTGGCTGGACTTTTTAAGTCTTTCAGTCTTTCATATGGAAAGATTTTTTCCGAAAGTTTCCGTTATAGAGAGTCGTTGCCAAGGGAACATACCAATTTTTATCGCCGTCCTTCGATTGTGCAAGGAAAAAATAATCACGGTTAAAGGAGAGGCTTTAGACTCAAATCGAAAGAAAATTTATCGAAAACGGATAAC